CTGCAAGGAACAGTATTTTTTTTTTAATTTAAAAAAAAAATTTTTTATATTTATTCCTTATTTAAAATCTGTTCTAAGGAGAACAATTATTAAATTAAAAACTACTTAGAAGGAATGTATTGCGATACTAAAACAATCTGTCTAAATTGATGAAGTGATGGCTAATATCATAGACAACATAAAACATTCTCAGTAAAGTCAATGAAAAATTGTTTAAAAATATATTGGTAATGTTTCTATATTTAATTTGCTTAAAGATTAAACAGCCAATTAATAATTCGTCAGCCCTCAATGCTTCGACCTTTTATACATGCTAGAAATTTCTTCTTTTTTTTCCAGATGTAGTACATTTGTCTTATTTTTAGGGCAGTGTAGTCTCTGTGGTAGAAATATTTTGGTAATATTTCTATAATTAATTTGTTTAAAGATTAAACGGCCTATTATCAATCTAGTATTACCTTCGTCTATATAAAATTGAAATATCCTTCTTTTTTTGGTTTTTCCAGCTTTAGTACTACATTTGTCTTATTTTTAGGGCAGGTCTCAGTGGTAGAAATATTTTGGTAATATTTCTATAATTAATTTGCTTAAAGATTAAACAGCCAATAAACAATCTATTACCTTCGTCTGCTCAGCCCTCAAAGCTTTAACTTGCAACATGCTTCATACCTTTTATACAAGTATATGCTTGAAATGTCCTTCTTTTTTTGGTTTTTCCAGTTTTAGGACTAAGTTAGTCCTATTTTTAGGGCAGTGTAATCTCAGTGGTAGGGACTCTTTTGTTATTTGTAGCTCAGTTGCTGGTTTGCTGCCGCTTGCCGCAGAGTTCTGCGAGTGTCACAGGCTCTGGGCCTGTCATAATGATTAGTTATGCTGATGACATTATTTGTTGTGCCCACCGACTGCGTCTGGTTGTGGGTGCAGTCGTAATTCTTTTGGCAAATATGCTTGTCACTCAGACACTGCACTTTGAATGCAGAGAGCCAAGATTGAGGCAGAGGCTATTAGCATGACCCGGTCAGCCCCTGGCAGCTTTCGTAATTAATTAAGCGCAACAAATGGCCAAACCCAACACACCCACAACCAGGTTTCGGCCAAGACGGGCAAAGACAAGGCACATGCCAGCTTTTAATTAGAGGCGTGCCTCGATTCCGTAACTCGCCAAACGTGCGGGCATGCGAAGCCATTCGTGCCGCCGACAGAGGAGGGGCAGGTTCATGTGGCGTTTTGACCAATTTGAATTGGACAAGTTGGTCCAACCTCTGCCCACATAAGTGTACGAGTATATTGAAGTGAACAAATGCGATTGAGTGCATGAGCAAATTTATCAATAGATGTATATTTTTACAAAATAAATCCTGAAAAAATGGCTTATTAAAAACGAGCGTGAAACTTAAAATTAAGCTGATGGTTCTGATATATTTAAAAGACTTTCTCAAGCATTAACTTCACAAATATTGCAAATTATCTTTGAAGATAATTAAAGTTTTACCTTTTATCGGAAAGTAAACTTTATTGATTTTGAAAAAAACGTTTTTGTCAATTTTTAAATCAATTTCCTAAGACTGATTTTGTTGGTACTTCAGAGAAAAATTTGTTAGATTCGATAGCCCCTATGCCAATGCCAATTATGTACAGTTCTCTCTAATACGTCCTGTGCTGGAATACTTCTCCCGTACCAGGATGCAATTGGATCCGAGGTTGCGTGGTCTAAACTGGCATTATTCTTCAATCTTCATTTATCAACCTGCTTTAGCAGACTTCTCATTGTTGTTATCTTCCACAAATTCATTGCCGAAGATGTTGCTGTTCCTCTCAAGTTTTAGGTGGAATTAATTTTTGGGTACCTCTCAGACCAACAAAGCTCTTTTTTTCACTTCTACTCAATAGCTGCACAACTGACTACGCCACGAACAATAATTTCCGGGTTTTATGCTCAGGCTATAACGAACTTCTTACTATCAATTGAACTATCCCGCTTCTCAGTAAAAGCATCTCCTAGCTATCTTCGAAAGGGTTCCTTTCTAACTAACTAGCCAGATTGGCTTTTAAGCTTTCCCCCTCATCTAGTCAGAGAATGTCGCAAATTTATTTATTTATTTATTTTATTGACAAAGCTCATGTGTGAAAAAAAGGAAAACAACTCAGAGCCTTTAAACAAAATAAAAGCAAAGCCTATAAAAATAACAAAAATATGGGGGAATTGTTGTATGCCCCGATTCACAGCAGAGAGTAGTCAGAAACGTTATTAAACCAAACAAAAAGTAAAAGAGATGAAAAAATAGCAATAAAAAATAAAGAAGAAGTATGATTAAATTAAAATTGAAATTATTAAATAATAAAAGATAAAATATAATTAAAAACTAAAGGTGGAGAATCACTAAAAATAGTTTGTTTAAATCAATTATCAAGAGTTTTTTTTTTCTTTTAATTAAATTTGTTATTTATTTAAGATTATATAAACAAATAAAACTTCTTCGAAGCGGCTTCCTCATGAAATTGTGGATCTTTTTTACTTTATAAGTTGTCCCTGTATTGTTTATTGTGACATCGACAGCCTCATTTGTGGATAAATAAATAAATTTAAAAAAACTTGCGCCAGCTTCAGATCACAAATTTATTGCTTGCCAGCAAAAAAGAGCATTAAGGCCGAGCCTTGTCTAAAAAAGAAGGCAGGTAGGGGGCGTGTGCGTGTGTTTAAATAAATTAAGGACAATAAACACATCACTGGAGTGACAAAATGGCTTTGGGTCAAAACCGCAATTGCAGGCAGACAGCAGTCAGCAGGCCATAAGAGCAACCCCTCGACTTGGCCAGCATTTTGGGCGTCCTTATTGTTAATTGTTCAAGTTTTTTTGTTGTTGTTGTTGTAGAATCAGGGGTTGGGATACGAGCAGCTGCCATAGTGGCGCGCACTTCCTGTTTCAGCCACTCCTGTTGCAACCATAAAAGAACACAGAAACACATTTCCGCTCACACTTCTTCTGGCCACTGAGTGGCTGTATAAATATTTTGCATTCGAATAAAAAATTCAACAACTAGAAGCAGGAAGAAAAAGGCCGCATATCAAAATAAACAAACTAAGTATGTATATATTGTAAGGGCATTGATATTGGCGGCTATTTCCGTTGCCAAACGCTTTCCAAAAACATCAATCAGCGGGCGTATTACCTCTAAACATGCTAAAAACAAATACCGGCCATCAAATCAAATCCAATCGCAACACGCTTAGGAAAACAAAAAACATAAAAGAAATCATTCAACATGCCGAGGCTAATAAAAATCGACAAAAGTGGCCCAACTGGGAACTGGGAAGGGGGGCCAGAGCCAGAGGTGAGATATCAAGCCATTAAAGTCGTACACATAAGACATTTCACTATGCAGAGTTATGGATTGTTGCATCGCTTTATGGCCAACAATTTGTTGTTGCCTTCGTGTTATTGTTTATTATGAATTCCATTGAATTGTGTTGCTGTTGTTGTTCAAATTGTTTCAACTATTTCTGATTGAATTCCGCGTGCGCATGCGTGAGCAGCCTCATAAAATTGGGCATTAAAGCCAACCAAACAGCCAACCGAACGACCGACTTTCAAACGTTAACCAAACTGTTAACAATGGTTAGCGCCATAAAGCTAATAGGGGGTCGAATAGTCGGATGCTCCGATGGTAAATTTTTAATGAAAATTTTGCCACATAATAGACACTGATAGATGCACGTTGCACAGTGGCTTCGATACATATTTTATCGATCAAAACTGGCATTTCTATTTGTAAACAACACTTCACTCAGAGAGGAGAAGGATAAACTATTTTATATATAACTAGGAAAATTAAACCAAAAGATAAAATAGTTACTTAGAACATGTCTCACGCGTCATAAAACTTTAAAAAGGAAAGAATGACGCTTATTTAAACAACTTTTCAGCAATTAAATCGATAAATATTATCGATGTTATCTGTTTCTAATATATTTAATGATTTAGTTAAGGTTTTAAAATTTAAAAACATTGATAAAAACGTGAAATTATGATTTTAAAAATTTAAAATATAATTAAAAATTTCAATTTAAATACAAAAAAGATAATAAAAGTAATAAAAGTAAAGCTTCAGAAAGAACTTAAAAAAAAAAACATTGGTAAAAACTTGAAATTATGATTTTAAAAACTTACAAATAAATATAAATTTCAATTTCAATACTCCTTCATTGGAAAAAGGAAGCACAGAAGTTAAGTTTCCCAAAGCAAAGTTTAAAAAAAAAACATTGCTAAAAACTTGAAATTATGATTTTAAAAAATTAAAAACATGATTAAAAATAAATAGAAATTTCAATTTAAATACTTTTTTATTGCAAAAAAGGAGAATAGAAGTCAAGCTTCCCAAAGCACAGTTTTTTAAAAAAATATTAGTAAAAACTTGAAATTATGATTTTAAAAAATTAAAAATGTGATTAAAAATAAATAGAAATTTCAATTTAAATACTTTTTTATTGCAAAAAAGGGGAACAGAAATCAAGCTTCCCAAAGCACACTTTTTCTCACAATTAGGCCAAATTTCCAGCAAAAAATGTAGATTAAACATCTATATATATATAATCGATAATTAGCGGATGTCTTGCAAATATAAATTTAAAATTAAATATTTTTTAACTGCAAAAGAAATATTGAAAGAATCCTTTAACCTTCCCAATTTCTACCAATTATTCATATTTAATTATTTTATTTTATTTTTAAAATATTGTTGGCTAAAAAATGAACTTTTTCCCACCAGCTTCGACTGTTAAGCCACTGTGCGTTGGTTTGATGGTACGAAGTTGTGGCCATAAAATCGAATATTTTATGGACACACGCTTTAAAGGCATATATCATACGGTTCCCGTCAGATATATAACACTTTAGCGGCTGAAAATTTATGGCGCCCTAGCCGACTTGAATTAATTACGCTGGCAGCGCTTTTGAACTTTTTGATTTTGATTTCGAATTTTTATTGCCGATGTTTTACAGATCCCGCCACACTCAACATTTTCGCCACACGGCCCAATCCGAAGAAGAAGCGCAAATCGCGCACCGCCTTCACTAATCAACAGATATTTGAGTTGGAAAAGCGCTTCCTATACCAAAAATATTTATCGCCCGCCGATCGAGACGAAATTGCCGCCGGCCTGGGTCTCTCAAATGCGCAGGTGAGTATGCATCCCATAAAATGCCCAAACATATATTATATATCGTCAACTATATGTAGGTTATCACCTGGTTTCAAAATCGACGGGCCAAGCTGAAGCGGGACATGGAGGAGCTGAAAAAGGATGTGGCAAGCGTGAAACAATTGTCAGCGAACAAAAGCTTTTTAGAGAATGTTAATGACTTGAGTATTTTAAAGACCCGACCAGTCAGCAGACAGCCGCCGGTTGCCGCTGAGCAGTCGTTACAGCCTCCACAGCAACCACCACAACCACAGCAACAGCAACAACAACAACAGCAGCAGCTCCAACAGCGCGGATAAGGAGGAGCTGCGCATGCTGAAGCTGATGACTCTGATGCGTTATTCGGATGGCAAGCTGCTATATCCCCAGCCCCCACCACCACCACCAACAACACTAGCCCCTAAAAGAACAGCAACAGGAGCGGGAGCAGGAGCACGTCCTGCGACCTAGTTACGACCTCATAGTGATTGGCTTTATTTGTGAATTGTTCATTATACTCAACAACAAATTTGCCAAAATGGGAAAAGCGCAAAAGTTTTTCCCCACACCATCAATTTCCTAATAGGTCTTTAGTAGTATTAGGTTTCATATATGTATGTAAGCTTCTCTATATGTGTACGTATTTGTATATTTTAATTGCCTAGAAACAACAACAACCACACATGTAAACATTTTATTCTCGCTCTAACAACATTTTATTGTAAATATAGACGTTGGAATTATTCCCGCAACCATCTTCTCTTCATTCTCAGATTACAAGCTGCGTTTTAAAGTCGGCGACATGTTTTTGAAATGAATTTTGAATGAATTTAAGATCAATTTAAGATTACAAATTATAAATTGACTTGAAAATATTGCCGATGCCTGTAATGATAGTTGCAATCTTTTTTTTTCTAATACTAAAGATAAGACAACTACAGATGTTAATATATGATTTTATGAGCAACAATAGAATTGTTTGGTCGGATTATAGAAAAGAGAAGCTTCCGGGTTTTTCCCCCTTCTCTGAGTCATTAATATATACAAATAGAAATGACTTCAAATGGTTTGGTCTTGTGCAAATCTTTTTTTTTCCATACCCTTTGTAACAATTATATGAGCAGTGTGACAAATAATTTTGAAGGGCTTAAATAATATGGTCACACAAACAAATTATCAGGTCGTATCAAGGCATTCTCTCTTGATCATTAAATTGCTTTCACAGTCCACTGCACTTCACTGAAAGGAAAGATGTTATTTCTAAACGAGTTATGCGATAAGTTTTCGACGAATTCTATTAAGAAGGAAAAATAATAAGTACTTAGATACAATATTATGCCAAGCCCATTCCATCTTTAAATTTTCTTTGTCTTTAGTATTTTCAACTAAGACCGACATGTTGAAAAATTAGAATTGGAATTCCACTCAAGCAATCCTCCATTTTATTAAACACACTTGATTATTTCAAAGACTTCATTTGAAAAACATTTAAATTCTGTTTAAATATGTTTATTTGAAGACTTTAAATTGATTAAAAGTCGCTACGAAGAAAATATATTGTTTATTTGTTCTCCATAAAAAAAAAATTAAAATAAGCTCAATAATAGTACGAACATAAATTATCCATTGGCAATATTCTGAATATTTTTTGGGAGTTTCAAACGCTTTTATTATGATTATCAAAATCTTTTGATATTATAGTCAATCTTTAATAAGTTTAGTGGTTTTGGCTTAGCAACGCATTTAAGGTCGAACCAGTTGTAATAAAACCTTTTTTTTATTTTATTTTCAAATAGATGAGTTGGCTAGTATTTTGTATGTCCTGCGACCACGCTATTGATTTTTTTCTCTGAAAACATTATGAATTTTCATTTTTACGAAACGAACCTTTAAACAAGTTTCAATATTGGAAAAAATATAACAAAGTTTTTCAACACATTCAGCAGCTTTACTTTGAAACGCAGCTTGAAAATATGTTGTAGAGCCTCAACCGAAAATTTAGAATTCTTAGAAAAACTATTTTCTGTTTATAGAACTTCTACAAAAAATTTCGACGTTCAAAAATGCTACTAGAAATGAGTTCTACACTATTGTATTTACTGTACATTATAAATATGCTGTGTAACCCTCATATCTAATTAATGCTTAGCTAAATTAAATAAATTATATGGAAATGCGGCAAAACTGTGAAAACAATTTACTGGTTTATTTTTTTTATGTGACGGTTATTTCCTGCACTGCCAGACAGTGCTGCCATTTGAATTATACCCGCCAACAGTGCTACCATTCGTGTACCTTTCCGTTGGTGCTGCCTAGTAAAGCAGTGTTAAAACAGCAACAGTGCTGCCAATACCATGCAATCGAGTGGTACTGCTTGCCAGGAACATATAAATTGAACTATAGGTGGCGATTTGTAACATTTGAAACGAATTAGCCGTTCAAATTGGAATTCTCTTCTGCCAAGGTTGAAAAATATTTCTAATTCAAACTAGTTTTTTTATTCGACTTTAATTTGTTTTTGTACCTTATGTATTAGGGTGGTTTGTGTCGACCTTTTTAATTTTTTCTCTTCAACAGCCCCACACAAAATTGTTTTTATTACATAACTAGTTTTTATTAGAACTCATTTAATCAACGGAACTATTAGGTCTATTAATAAAAATAAAAGCTTTAAACCGAACATTTACACAGAAACTTTTATAGATAACAACGGTTTACGAATACTAATAATAATATATACAAATGTCCTTTGAAATCTAAAGAAATTAAAGAAAAGTTCGAATCTTTCATACTTTACTGATGTTCTTAGAGTTTTTTAGAGATTAACGCAAACATTTCATAAAAGCTTGTAAATCAAATGTAAAAATAGAAATAACAAACTCCGAAGAAGTTATTTCTATCCATCAGAATGCAATATATTTTGTTGTCACATTATGCATTATTAATGATGTATTGAAAACAATAAACTACCAAAGTTTAAGGAACTAGAAAGAAGCTTTTATAAGAAAAGAACTAAGGAACGATAGTATTTTTCTTTTCAAAACAGCCTGCAACGATTGTCATGAACTATAGTTCGTAAACAGTAATGCTATTTGCTGACTGTTCTTATCCGAATTTTTGAGACTCTGCTATAAGGACGTGGACGATCCCAAGTCTTTGCATAATCTGCTTTTGGGCTTCCGAGAAGCTCAAGTAACTATGAACTATTTCCTTGGTAAAATAAAACAATATCATACAAATAAATAAATGTGTATGTAACTCAATTTATGACTCCAAAAAACCACTCTAAATAGGTTAACAGAAACACTCAGCATTTCAGTTGCTCTGAAACTCTAAGACGAAGGAAAACATCAATTGAGTCAAATATTATGAATTATATTAAATAAATCTATAATATAGTAGGCATGCCAATACTAATATTATAAAGTTGAATGATTTGATTGTTTGTTTGTGTACTTGAATTGAAAAGGCTACCGATTCAAAGCATTTTTCACAGTTGGGAAGCAACACCATCTCCGGTTAACAAGGGCTATATTATACAAGTATTTGCAAAAAATATAGGGATGCTTACTAAAACGCCGAGGGTGTAAAAAAATTACCTAAAAAACTGCTGAAGAGGATGCTGTTCAGAACCATACTCGAAACATTGTCACTTTAAATATTAAGGCAATACTCCTGAAAATCAATTTATTACAACAACAAATATCGTTTACAGAGATAGAGCTCTGACTCAATAAAAAATAACAAAAAAAAATATAAAAAAGAACATGAATCATTCAAACAATATTATGTTTATAATTTAAAATGTATAATTTTTAAAATTTGTGTAAAATACCCGTGCGAAGCAGTGGCAGAACGCTAGTATTTTTTATATTTGTATAACCTTCCAAAACTCCCAAACAGTCGATGATCAGCATCGATCGGTGCTGCTGGTTATCCCAACAAAAACTCTTAGCCATAAAAATAATTAGCCCCCAATGCTTCAGTTGCTCTGAATATGGTCTATTCTTAAGAATTTGAAATGGAAAAGGACAAAAATAGAAATCAATCATGACAAATATTATGAGCAGCAGCATTGAGTGTAAATTATCGAATTGGCTGAATTTGAAAATGATTTGCAAACGAATGTGCGATTTGTTTGTTGTTGCAGAGATCAAAACATAAATTTTGTCGATTTTCAGTGACAAGTGTAAATAATTGACTTGACAAAATAATAAATATATCAGCAAGATATGAACATTTATTTATTATTCGTGCTCATGCCGAACAAAGGTCAACAAACTTGAGCAACCGAAACAGATAGTAGAAACAATTCCAACTAATTGACATTTGGGGTGTTAATGGAGGAGCCACAGACTTCACTCACTTGACTTGAGTGGCTGCACTTTCCCAGCATATCCAGACACATCCATACTACTTATATATGCATGCATATACATATATTCGTATAAGCCACTGAAACAGCGGCTTTAGACACTTCAATTGCAGATTGTCGGCCACATAATGACACAATTAAGTCAAATTATGCGACTGCCGGAGTGGCTGTCTTATCAGACAACACCCTCTTCTCTCCCCTCCGACACAACACTCGACTCTCAGCAGAAATCAATTCAATTATTACAACTTTTATTCCGATTACGACGACGATGAACTCTGCACAATGCCGCGATTAATTCCACACGAGCGCCTGCGAAGAGTTGAAGGTGATTAGCGCTAAACTTTTCAAAGCGCATCACCATCTACAGTCACAATATGTCTCATAAGTAATGGGACTAGTGCTGAGCTCGTCAAATGATTTCAAGTAATTCCAAAGCATAAATTCCCCTAATACTTGACTCTTAATCTGTGAAATGATTCCCTGTTCAAACACAAACTTCAGAGTTTCCTAAACATAATAAGTACTATGGAATTTTTTTCTTTGCCTGTTTAGGATTATTTTGATAAGCAACTAGGAGAACATAATTACATTAGTCCCAAGACGTAAGACATGGGATAATGGCTATCGCCTGCAAAGAATTGAAAGTATATTAACTAGCGTCAAGTTTTCCAATCGCAATATTCCTCATAAGTAATGGTAAGCCAATAAGTAATATATCAGCAATCATAACTGAATTTCCCTGATTCTTAATTCTTATAATCTGATAAATTATCTCAAATTGTAGTCAAGCTTATATCTTAAGCTTCAAGGTTTGCGAAATATGAATAGCAATTCCATAAATGAAAGAAAACAATAATTCAATACAAATATTTTGTTTGCTTAAATTTGATTAACAATTTAGTATTTTCACAGACTTTTCGGGGGCTATCTTGAAAATACATATGGGTTCGATGAAGCTGAAATTCTGGCAGTTAGTAACATAAAACTTTTTCCTCATAAAGTCCAAAGAAAACAAAACTTCAATACAAAT